AGTCTTGTGTGGCGCTGTGGGTTAATACGCCAGACTGCAAAACTGTTTGAACTGCAAGGTCAGCAGTTCAAGCACATCAGCAGCTCCTTGGAAACCCTATACAGGGTTGCTATGGGTCGGGACCGACTCTAAAGCACTTCATAACAACGACAAGTACAATCATTAGAGCTCTAAGATAGTCGTAGAAGGATGCTTACTAAGGCACTTATTATACTAACTTAATAAGGAAACAATACATTTATCATTTGGTGAATCAATTGAAATACACTGAAAATGCATGAAATTGATACAAAACTGTCAAATGTGTATTTCAGTTATGAACAAAGTTCCACACCATGTTACATATAAAAGTTTGGAATCTAGTGCATCTGATAGAATTACATTTGCAGTGAAAAAGTCTTTTTTTTTTTTTTTTTTCCCCCTCTAAGAGTACAGAGTCCTGATGTAGTGCTGTGGGTTAATGCACCAGACTGCAAAGCCGTTTGAACTGCAAGTTTGGCAGCTCAAGCTCACCAGCTGCTCCTCGGAAACCCTATACAGGGTTGCTATGCGTCGGACCTGACTCAATGGCACTTAACAGCAACAATAAAAATACAGAAGAAGTTGCTTACATTAAGAACATTGGTGGTGGTGGTGTGCCATGGAGTCAGATCCAACTCACAGTTGATCCTGTATTGGGTTTCTGAGGCTGTGAATTTTTACAGGAGCAGTGGTAGGTTTGAACTGCTGACTTCAGTTAACAGCTCAACTTGTACTGCACTACACTATCAGGAAGGGATGGGACTAGAGAAGGTTAAGAGAGTCGAGATTTTATGATTCATTTTATAATTCTCTGAGTTGTGGGCATTCATTACTTTATAATAGAAAATAAACAGAAAAAATACAGTCATTCTCACAAAATGAAAGCTAAATGTTTTATTTTGTTATTTTAAGGCACTTGAATCTCTGATTTGAACGTGCATTTGCAGCTTTATTCCTCATTATGCTTTCTCTCCTAATTTCTGAATAAGTTCAATACTTGGCTGACACCCTCTCATCATTGCCAATTCCTCCTGCTCAAACGGACTGGAGTCTTTTCCGTAGGTTCAATTCAACCGTACTTCATCTCTCATCTCCTTTAGTTCAGCTCCACCCTTAGCCCAGCTAGAGTTGTCTGTTTCTTCATGAACTGTTAGAGCCTCTGAGTTTAATTCCATTTTGATATTTAACATCTTGGACCTTGTGTTATAGTTATGGCTTCCCTTCTGCTTGTCAGGTACAAGAGAACAAGTTCTGCCATTGACTGACCTTAATATCCCACCACCGTGTTTAGCCCAGGGCCACACTCTGATGTAGCTGTACAAGTGCTCCTGGGTGATAGGGGCCCAGAGCAGGGAGACTTTGCAGGGTCTCACAGTAGTGAGCATGAGCAGAAGTCGGACAACCATACATCATCAGTAAGAATACAAATTGGTGTAACCATTTGAGAAGCCAGTGGATGGCTGTTAGTTTCTCCCACATACATGTTGAACCACAGTGTATTTAGAATGTACCAGGACACTACGGCTACTGATTGTTTTTTTATTCTTTATTAAATTGATGTGTCATTGTAGGATAAGCACTGGACTGTGAACCACAAAGTGGGCAGTTCAAACCCACTAGCTGCTAGTCAGAACCAACTTGACGGCATTTAACAATAATAAAACATACCTCTATCTATCTATATATCTATATATAATTGACGTGCTTGGGATATATGAGAACTCTGGGTAGCACAAATGGTTAAGCATTCAGCTACACACTGAATGTCTGAATGTTCAAGTCCACTCAGAGGCTCTCAGGAAGAAAGGCTTAGAAATCTACTGCTGAAAATCAAGCAATTGACAACCCTTTGGACCATAGTTCTACTCTGGCCCATGTGAGACCACCATGAGTCAAGAGCAACTCCGTGGAAGATCTCAACGTGTATTATATAATGAAACATTTGCCACTTCAACCTTTTTACATGACAAGTCGTGACAATAATTCCATTCATTGTTATGTTGTACAAATATCACCTCTTCCCATTTCCAAAATTGTCATCACTTTTAATGGAAACTAAGCGTTCCTTAGGCTCCTCTCCCTCCCAGTTCTGACACACACTAATTCATAAATGTTAGTCTCTATGCATTTGCCAATTCTAGAGATTTTATTTAGGTGGGAGCATGCACTGTGTGTCTGTTGGGACAACAAGGTTCAACCATGTCGTGGTCTATAGCAATATACTCTATCCTCTGAGTAGTAAGATTGTCTAAGTCTGAGGTTGAGTGACCCATTCAGGTTTACTTGAGGCAATTGGTGGCAGGCCCAGGGAGGAGGCACCTGTTTTCATTTTCCTCCTGTAGTATCATGCCAACTCTTTATTCCAGAGAGCCTCATTGTTTGTGCAGCTCCCAGGGCAAAGGTTAAAGTGCCCCCATTCAGGTGCCAATGTCATCATCTGTATAATCTGGGAGCTGCATTTCTGAGCAACAGGCCCCCTTTCAGAACCTGCCTAGTTGAGATGTAACTTCTCTAACAGTGAAACACTTAGGCTCCAAAGTGCGCCCCTCCCCCCTGTCTCCAATTTTCCCCTAACAATTAACACCACACTAACTTGACACCCACTTTCCTTGTTTGGCTTTGTAAACCCAGGTCCCTTTTTCTATTAATTCCAGACATTAATATTTTCTTTCACGGGATGGCCGCCATTCACCCGTGAAACAGTTTGAACATTATACAGCTGTCAAGATGCCTGGGGATTACCCAGTATGCCTTGCCTGTGAGAAAGTGATACCAAGTCCACTGACAAGCATGAGGGCCAGATCCCAGAGTGGCAATTCCATTTAATTAAAGGCCTCTTTTTATTATAGGTTCCCTCCACGTTTTATATATATATATATATATCAGAATGATTGTTAAAGTCTGACTCACCAGAGGTGTTCTCTTGTGGTGTAAAAGGGGGAGGGGTGGGCAGATGTCACTCTCTCTAGCGCTGAGGATCCCACTGCTTGTCTGTGAATGCCTTTGCTGCCTCTCTCTCTCTAGGGCAGAGAGTGTGTGTCCAAGTTTAAAATAAAGAGCTTCTATCCTGAACTTAAAATGTGAGAGTCGGGTTCATTTATGTGCGTATAATTTTCATTTCGTTTGTTTAGTTTTCAAATGAATAACCATACAACACAAAGGCAAATACCTTAGTTGTCTGTGAAGGAATGAAGACAATTGCTCTGTAGTGTCGTCAATGTTCTTGCAATGAAAAGGGTTGGGAATCATGGCACTCATTTTCAGTAATTTTTATTAGTGGCGCTAAATAAAAACATTTGCAGAAAGAAGCTAAAAATAAAAGCTAATTGGTGATAGGCATTAAGGTTTGGTTAAATGCTGGTGACCACGTATTGTTGCTATTGTCTTGTGCCGTCCAGTTATTTCTGACTCATAGTGTCTCTGTAGGAATTCTCAGAGCTGCTGAAATGCCAGCTATAGACATGGTCCTATAGCACCATGCCAGTGCTCACAGATTGCCACCAATTTTGGATACAATGTCCTTAGACTATACTGGCCTGCCATCATTAGCAGAAATTCCATTCAATGAAAAGCCTAGATCGGGTATGGTCCTCGGCAATTGAGTTAAATCCGCGAACAAAACAGATACTTGATCTTTGTATATTTATCTCACAATTATGCTTTTCTTTGTGGTAAGTGCTGTCTAGTTCCACTGATAGCGATCCTGTGTCGGGTTTCTGAGGAGTGGCTGGTGAGTTATATCTGCTGACCTTGTGGTCAAACCCATGTTGTAGTCCAGCACTCGTCCTGCGGAGCCATACCAGGACTCGGTGCTGTTAAACTGCCCGCATTTCCATTTCTTTTTCTTGGCTGCATCATCAGCCAGACTTCAATTATTCATTCATGGACTGGCCAGGCATTTGTGTCCTTTGGATTCGCCTCTCACTAGGCATTCGTGAGCACGCGTATCCCAGGCACAATGATGCAGAGGATGTGTGTAATGCTCACATGGACACATGCGTAGGTAAATGCACTTTTTACAAATTATGCATCTGCGCATGTTTTTTTTTCTCAGTGGATCTGAGAAGTGTGGAGGAGGGACTGCCTTTGGACCTCCTTTCTGCTCTGGGCATGGTGGCTGGAGAGACACTCTTCATTATTTTTGGAGTTTGTTTCAATGTACCCTAGGAGAGCAGAGTAGGGCAGTAGGCTCAGCTCTCAGGCCAGCTGAGGGCCTGGCTGCTTAGCTCAGTAGGCAGGGCTGAAAACTCCATTCTCCGCTTCAGGGCAAGTGCAAGGTGTCAACAAAGAACCGCAGCTCTGTCCACTGAATCTCTCCTTCCCAGCTCTTCGTAGTCTATCACGCTAGCTTTTGAACCCGTGGTTTCAGAGATTGATTGATTATTATGTTTTAAAGTGCAAGGTCTGTTGAGACAACCGTCTGGCCAAATTCTTGAAAACTGTTTCTTTCCCTTTTCCGTGACTTTCTGCAGGTGTAAGGAGGGTGGGGGTCTCCCCAGGATTCTGACACTACTGGCTGATGCCTGCAGATTTTACTTGTCGAATGTTTGTGGACAGCACAATGGTGGCATATCCACGATGAAATGGAAGAAAAATGCTCCAGGAGTACATTTATATCCTACCACTAAAGGCAACAGAGTGTAGTGGTTACGAATCGGGCTGCGAGCCTCAGGGTCAGCAGTTTGAAACTACCAGCTGTTCCACGGGAGAAAGATGAGGCTTTCTGCTCCCGTAAAGATTTACAGCCTCGGAAACCCTGTAAAGGGTCGCTATGAGTTGGAACCGACTCCACAGCACATAACAACAAAAACAAAGTCAACAGAGAGTCCCTATCTCCCTCTAAGTCATCTCAGTTTTTGTCTCCCTTGAAATTCTGGAATCTTCCTTCTCTGCATAGAGACTTTGTTCTAGGTATGATGGAGCTCCTAGAATTTCACATATGGTTTCAAAACTTGACTTGCTCTCTTTTCCTTTTAAAGGCACAAGTGACCCTTATGTGAAATTTAAGCTCAATGGGAAGACGCTGTACAAAAGCAAAGTCATATATAAGAACTTGAACCCTGTTTGGGATGAGATGGTTGTATTGCCCATACAGAGCCTTGAACCAAAGCTACGTGTGAAGGTAACCTTACGTGACTTTCAAGCCCTCTCTCTTATTGAAAATATCTATTTCTCAACCATCTTTGGGCTTCTTTGTAAAATGAACTTGGCAAACGTTAATTGTTTTATTTTCCAGCACTGAGTAAAAATATGACTATGGAAGGTAATCCTTTATCATTTGTCAAGATTGTGTGTTTCTAGCAGATCCTTGTGGTATGCTCTACACAAACTCATAGGGAAAACCTTATTTCCATGTATTTCAATGTATCAGATGTGGAAGAATTCTTACCAGGAGAACAGCAATGACAACTACTAAACCTTTTCATTAGGAATAACTTGATGCTTAACAGCACTTTAAGCTTCAGGTTGTAAGCATCAACTGCTCTAACAACTGGGTTAAAACTGCATGAGTTTGAGTGCAGGATGGGATTGCTGCAACATATTTATCAAATTTCTGATTAATTGGTGCATCAGTTCACTGTGGACATACTTAATTTTAATGAGAGACAGTTTCAAACTACAGAGTAAGGTCCATTGTGCATGAAGTTATATTGCATCCGAATCCTGCCTGAAATGTATTTTCTGCTGGTGTTTGGTCTCAACAGGCAAAATGGATAAGTTTGAATAACTGTTCTCTCTATCTAGTTGAAGGGGCTGAATTCCCCTTTAACGGTACTGTGTAAATCCTGTTTAGATCTGCAAGATTGAGTTCCACATGGCCAGCCTAGTTCATTTGCTGAGAATTGGATAAAGTTGATGGCTTAAAGTCATCACATGTCTCACTGTCCCCTCTTCTTCTCCCCAGGTATATGATCGGGATTTAACCACCTCGGATTTCATGGGCTCTGCATGTGTAAATCTCAGTGATCTTGAACTTAACAGGTACTGTGTTTTTACCTTTCTTAGTATTTGTGAGCAAACTCAGAATATAGTGTCAAATGGAGTTTGTTCACATCAAACGAACAAAAAAAGGAAATCTTAATAAATAAGAATGCTTTAAAAGGGTAGTATTGCAATTTCTAACATTTTCTGTGTTTCTATTTTTCTTTTTGCCTTCTAGCTCTCATATATATTAATTAGACATTCCATAACGTGTTCTAAAATGCATCTTGGATTTTATACATTCATTTGTGAATATTCAAGTTCACTAATCTAACCTAAAATCTAAAAAAATGTTTAAAATTTATGTTTGCATAGGGTAGGAGACCTGCTAATCAACTCCTGAAATAGTCACTGCCCCAAATTTCTTTATAGTGATGACCATTATTTTATTTTCACTGCAGTTAGTGTTTTTTTTTTTTTGTTTGTTTGTTTGTTTCTTTTTTAACAATTTGCCTGATCCTTTTTCAGAGTTTGGAGCTTTTATCATAAGTTTCTGATGCATTAAAAAAAATAATAATATCTTTAAGTGCTAATATTTTTAATTGTTTTTGGTTTTAGAACTACTGAACATATTTTAAAATTAGAAGATCCAAACAGTTTGGAAGATGATATGGGAGTGATTGTGTTGAACTTGAACTTAGTAGTAAAACAGGGTGATTTCAAGAGACATGTAAGTTTGACTTTTTATTCATTAAAAAAAAAAAATACTGGCTTCCAGGTCACTGAATTTTTATAATGATTTCACTGGAAAACAAATAATTTTATAGATACTTAAATTATTCTATTTCTCTTTTAGGACTCTTGAAAGAAATCTATTAAGAAATTATCTCTACTTGGGCTAGAGATATTGTTGGTATTACTGTTATTAAAACTATATCTACTGCCCACGGTTTACTTATCATAGATTATGTAAAATATATTTTCACTAAGTGTTCAGGCTTCTCTCTGTAATTGTCTTAGGTTGTAGATAACTTAGATATTATTCAGTTATGGAAAACAGTTCCCAGGATTTAACTACAAGTTGTACATTATTAAAGTAAACAAGTAAGTCTACTTTTGCAGATTTCAATTTCCTTTTTATTATGTTGGTTTTTACTTTAAGCTACCAGGTTCTCTGTGAAGAGTACTGTTGGGAAGACACAAAATTGAATGTTCTCTGAACGGTTATATGAAAAATTCTAGTTAATATGGTATCCACTAAAGACATCTAAAAAATCAATAAAACATTGCATTTTATTATCATATGATTGAGACTTTTGTTTTGAGCCAATATGTAGATGTGAGTTATATTTTTGTTTTACAGTCTGTAATGATAACTTCTAACACTTAAAAAAAGAACAAAACATCCGTAATTATAATGTATTTGAAACACATTTGAAAAGCCCATGCAAATACCTATTAAGGACAAAAGTTAGCATGTATAGAAATCTTTTTCATATTTTATTTATTAATTAGGCCTCAGCTAATTCCTCTTGAATTGAGATATGAGGGTTAGTGAGAATATTCTTAATACTCTTCAGTTGATAATTACTTTTGTCCTTATTATTAATTTACTTCATGATGAAAATCACAATTGATTTACTAATAGAGTCACAGGAGATAGCTTTAAAAAATGGATAATACTGTCGTCGGAAATTTTTCTCTATTGTGGAAAACACAAGTAAGACTTCTTATTGACTTTAGAAATAAAACCAAATTGAACATTAAAGTTAAGCTACTTCTCTCAAAGGATTTAGAGTCCAACTGACACTGGACATTTTCACTGGACATTTAACATGAGCTCATGTTAAAGTTGTTGATTTGGTAGTTTTATAGTTGTTTATATTGATCTTTAAGAATCCGTGCTTACTGTATGTAATTAGGAAAAATGCACAAGTTTTCAGTTGCTAAAGGTTCAATTAAATAGTTGTAGTATTTAGCTTAAATACTTCACCTTTGAAATTTTACTTGAAATTTAAAAAAAAAAATTTAAATCAAAATAAAATAACCTCTATTATTTTTTATAAAATGACATTGTTAAAATCTAAGATATCAACAAACCTGATGGTTTGATGTTAAAGATGGCTTAAACTTGATGGAAATGTTTCGTTTTTATTTTTTGTTTTTTCCTCAAAAGATAATGAAAGAGGGATATTCTAGCTTCCTCTGAGTTTTGACAGTATTGCTAATGTTTCTGTGGCTCTGGATTCACAGTCATAGGTGCAGCAGATGATTGGTTATTGGATCTGGTTCCCAGGTTGTAGTACCATGTGGTGTAAATAATGTCATTTTCAACATGGCTTAGCTATTCCCAACGGATCTACTTTTAAGATTTCTTATATTTAGATGGAGTTTATAAAGTTGGATCATTTCCCCATAAAAATAGCTCCTTCTTTACATGACTTCACATGTGACTTTTTTTTATAATATACTGAATGCTGTTAACAATGACATTAGCACTTAAAAATTTAAATCTATTTAAATTTTACCAAAATTTGGGCCTTTACAGACTTGGAAACCCTATGCAGGGTCGCTATGAGTCAGAATTGATTCCACAGCCCACCACCACCACCACCAAAGCAATACTGAAGTCCTGGTGTGGTGCTGTGGGTTAATGTGCTGGCCTGAGGTTCAAACTCACTTAGCCGCTCCTCAGAAACCCTATACAGGGTCGCTATGGGTCAGAACTGACTCGATGGTACTTCACAACGACAACCAATTTTCTCTTTGATAATTGTTATAAAAATAAAATGTGATTTTATATCAAAGGTCTTCAGCAGCACTCTGTCCACACATGATACTAACTGATATTTTATGGTCAGTTTGGAAGGAGCACTGGATGGCTACCAAGAGGTCAGCTGTTTGAACCCACCAGCCACTCTGTGTGGGAGAGAGGGGAAGTCTGCTTTGGTAAAGATTTACAGCCTTGTAGAGGCTGCCTTTGAGTTGTGGTGTTGGAGGAGGCTACTGAAAGTACCATGGACTGCCAAAAGAACCAATAGATCTGTTTTGGAAGAAGTGCAGCCAGAGTGCTCCTTGGAGGCCAGGATGGCTAGGCTTCGTCTCTAATACTTTGGACACATTGTCCGGAGGAAACAATCGCTGGAGAAGGATGTCATGCTGGGTAAGGTGGAGGGTCAGAGAAAAAGGGGAAGATCCCCAACGAGATGGAACGGCCAGGTGGCATCATTGATGGACTCAAGTGTGGCAGCGGCAGTGAGGTTGGCCCAGGATCGGACATTGTTTCGTTCTGCTGTGTATGGGGTCGCTATATGTCGGTTCCGACTCGATGGCACCTGACAACAACAACAACAGAGGCTGTGTCACTCTGTGGAAGGGACAATACAACAAGAACCAATCTGAGTGCCCACACTGTGGTACCCTTACTTCTGTGTTGAACGTTGTGAATGTTGAACTCAAAATTACAGTGTTTTTGATAAAGGCTATTTCACATCATTTCTGAACCAACATTTCTAGTTGCTGATCCTTCAAATGTAAGTGGAAATGTCTGCAAGGATGTTTACTCTGTGGTTTCTCATGGATTAGGGAGACATATTGACAAAGGCCCTAAGTCATTTACCTAAAGGTATATTGTTCCTTCAACATGATAGTAAATGTGGTCTGCTCGATTAGATTTATAATTGAGTTGTAATCTCCACAATTTATCCAAGTTTTAACAACTGGTTAGCTGGTTAACCAGCCAGAGTAAAGCTTTTCAGTATTGGATGGTGATTGGAGTAATGAGAGAATTTTGCTAGGAGAGAATTTTAATTGTGTGGGAGATTCAGCAACCTTTCCATAACAAATGAGAGATCAAAAGAGAACAGTCATGAAGTGTCTGGCTGCTTGAAACATTTTTTTCTTCCTTCTTTCAGTACTAGATTAGCCAGTTTTTCTTAATTTATACAGAAATGATCCGGATCTTTTCTTATTATTTTGAGCATTAAGATTTAATCAGTAAAAATAAACAGTTATTTTTCCTTAATATCTCAAGCTGGAAGCCTAAGCATGAAGTAAAATTCTTCGTGAATTTCTTAAACATTTTCATAATAGTCTAAGAGTATTTCAAGAAGGTGAAATGTGCCTTTGCACTTGTTGGAATTAGTGTTTTAATGTGATTAAGAAAGGAATGTACTTCAGAGGATCAAACAGTATTCATATGTGCTATGTGTCCTAGCCTTTCCATTATGGAATACTGCGATAAAATGAATGCTACCAAACCTCATAAATTTGTTTTTTCTGTTTCTATAATCAAATGTACTTTGTAACCTAGCATCATGGGTCTTAATCATTTGAATGTAGTCACTACAGCCTTTTATAATAATATGATGATGTTGCTAATAATTCTGTTCTTTCTCTTTTATTTTGCCATTTTCACCATTCACTGGACACAATCCTTAGCGTTGGTCGAATCGGAAGCGGTTAAGTGCCAGCAAGGTAAATTGTCTTATTCTTTCTTTAGATCGTTTGGTAAAAACATCATCTTTGTAGCAAGCACATATGTAAACATGATTGATATTGCTTAACCTTTGATGTAACAATGTCCTTTCATTTACTGCTATTACAAGTTAAGACTAGCAACCATAAAAAATGTCAGTCAATGAGCACATCGGTGGATATTTGAATATACACTTTTTTTCTTTAATATTTTTTGTAGTTACATTTTATATGTACCTGCTATGTTAGAATGTTATACCTCATTAAGTTTGTAATATTTAGAGTTCAGTGCAGTTAGATTTAGTCCTTTAGGAAGTTATTTAATATAAGATAGAAATTAGCCTAATGTTATAGGGACAATTAAAAGACTGATTATGTGGAATTCATTCAAATATATTTCATACCTTCTGAGAAATCCAGTTATTAATTTTAGTATACTTCTTTAAAGAGTTCTTTATGAACTACTGGTAACTTTTTATAGTATTGCTACCTTCCTAGACAATTATCAATCATTGCTTTGATGAAAAGCATAGGTGTACCAAGGTAGGAGTAATTTAAAATATATCATTTTTTTTCAATTATCACATTGTAACTTAACTGATTAAATGTCAAAATTATTGTGAAACCAAAGATAACCAAAAAAAAAAAAAATGTCGATAACTTAATTTAGCATTTCAGCAAGTTGAGTTCCTATGAATTGCACTTGACTTGTTGGAACTGGATTTTGCTACCGTAGCATAGTGGTTACGAATTGGGCTGTAAACCGCAAGGTCAGCAGTTCGAAACTACTAGCTGTTCCACGGGAGAAAGATGAGGCTTTCTGCTCCCATAAAGATTTACAGCCTCAGAAACCCTGTGCAGGGTCGCTATGAGTCGGAACCTACTCTAAGGCACTTAACAACAACAACAAAAACATAGGGAATTAGCAAATGAAAAGCAATTCCTGAAGTCTGATGAATGATTTGAGAGTGTAGTTTGTCTTCTGAATAGTGGAGGTCATGTATTTGTGTAAGACAGAGAAACAATGAGAGGTACAGAGACAGAGAAAGATTTTAAAACTGACTAGCATTAGTCACTTAGGAAGAAAGTCAAACTATGAACCTAGCTTTCTGAAATTTAATAAATCTAGACTTCTGACTCTTAACTTACTAAGCTATAGATCCTCTATATTTGGAAAGCTATAAAAAATAACTATGGTGAGGGGCTTTGTAATCCTACTAGTTCAACCCCATGACTGGTTCTTTTTAGAAACAAAATTAAGAGGATCTAAATAATACTGTGAAGTTGTCTCAAAAATCCTTCCAACTTTTGCTTTTTTCCCCTGTAGTCACTAGAGGGTAGAAGAGCATCACTTCCCACACAGAAGGGAGCCTGCCTTTTTGTTCTCCCATATTAAGAGTTTCTGTAACCATCTGGAGCAGTAAAGTTTCCCAGAATGCTTTGGTGAAGCCTGACAAAGCAGTATTTTCTCGTTTATTGATTCTGCTTCTGCTCTAAAACCCTGGTACTGTACATCAATAACCATCTTTAGTTAGGGAGCTTTGGTCTGTGGAACAGTACTGGCAGTTTGTGGAGGAACATAAAGGCTAGAAAGAAAAATTGTGAGCTTGGGGAATATTGGCATCTAGGGAGGACAGGAGAGGTTATGGAAGAATGGTTAAAGGAATGAAGAGGGATAGAAAAAATGTCGATGGGTTGGATAAAGATATCAAAAATATGAAGGAACAGAGGGTCCTGGGGAGTAGTAGGATATGTACAAATATATATATATATATATATATATATATATATTTGTTGTTGTTTATTCCCCCTAGAGTTGTGTCTTAGTGCTGAGCAGTTGTTTTTGTTTTTTTGTTTTTTTTTTTTTTGTTGTTGTTGTTTTTATCCCTTATCCTCAATCATGGTAGTTCTTAGAATTTTGACGTCATTATACTGCACTCAGGGACTTAATATATGCCCAAACCTATTTGTTGTTGTTAAGTGTTGTCGAGTCAGTTTCAACTCATTTTGACACCCTGTTCAGAATTCCAAGGAAAAGCTGGTGGATTTGAACAACCAATCTTGCAGTGCTTTTCCCGCAGCTCCACACCAGGACAAACCTAGAAAATAAAACTTGATCATCCTTGGTGATAAAACCTTAGATAAATTAAGTTCATTGTCAGCTACTCGTGGTCTTATTTTGAAGATGCAGTTTACATAAAATGAAGAGTTTCTTGTTGAATGTTTGAATCTTGCAATTGCAATTTTGAAGAGAAAAATGTGGTAACTTCTAATTTTACTAATGAAAATGACAACATGAAGGATCTAAAACACTGTGATTAAAATGCTACTGCTGTTGTTGAGTGTATCTGAGTCGGTTCAGACGCATTTTGACCCTGTGTATGGTTTCCAAGGAGCAACTGGTGAGTTTGAACTGACAACCTTGTGGTTCACGTTGACCTTGTGGTTAACACCTCTCTTTTAGTATTATTAAAATAGAAGGTCTTCTTTTGGGATTTCCATATTACATTTTTAGAAATTATGTATAAATATTTTAAATAAAGGACATTACTTAGTTCTAAGTATCTAGATTTTTACCAGTCCCAAGTGCTACATTACTTATAATGTGCCATTGATTTTTCACTTCAGTCTTGTTCTTATGATAATATAGCTTCTTCTGATAATTGCATCCTAGCCCTGTAGGTTTACAAGCGGCATCTTTCAAAGTGTCCATGAACACATAAGTCTTTGTGGATTGTTCCTTTAAGCTGCGCCCTTACTATTTGACTCGGAAGTATTAATATGAAATACCTAGGATAGGTCTTCATATATTCATTCAGGTTTCATCCCAAAGCCTTTGTCTTTATATTGTTGTTGTTATTGTTAAGTGTTATCGAGTTGCCTCTGACTCATAGCAACACTGTTTAGGATTTCCTAGTTTTAGCTGGTGAGTTTGAACCACCAACCTGTGGTTAGCAGTTTATATGAAGGGGCTTGAAATGTTTGTAGGAAAAAAAAAAAAAACTTTTCTTTTAATTCAGTTTTTCCATGAACTTTTTGAAGTTCCTTTTTATTCTGATAAGCATTTTTAAAAGAGAACTGATGAACTGATGTAACAGATCTGGGATAACATAGCTAGTACTCTTTTATATGATTATTAAATCACTCGACTTCTAAGTCATCAGTTCAAATTCACCAGCCGCTCTTCAGAATCCCTATAAGTCCCAGTGAGATGGATTGGCAAAGTGGCAGCATCAGTGGGCTCAAGCCTGGCAACAATTGTTAAGCTGGCTCAAGATCGGCCAGTGTTTGGTTCTGTTGTGCATATGGTCGCTATGAGTCAGTACCGACTCGATGGCACCTAACAACAACATGAGTCAGAACCTATTTGACAACATTTAACAACAACAAAAACAACATACATAACCTACCATGGTAATAGACTTATTTTCCCATTTATTTACCTTTTTAGTAAAATAATCATTATAGACAATTAACAGTCATGTCTTCACTTACAAGGAAGCCTGGTGGTGCTGTGGTTAGGCACTTGGCTGCTCACTGAAAGGTTAATGGTTTGAACCCAGCAGTGACTCCCTGGGCAATTGTTTTTTTGTTTTTGTTTTTTTTTTTGCTCCTTTTTAGAGAGAAATAACAAATGAAAAATGATGACTATTTATCTATAGTTTGGCTTCTGAATGGTGATGGTGTGTTTGAGCAAGAGAAAGAGAGAGAGAGAAAGAAAGCTAAAGGGAGAAAGATGTAGCAGGTGCCTGCCTAACAGATTTACAGCCCCTGGAAACCATACAGGGCCACTCTGCTCCCTCTCATACAGGGCTGCTATGAGTTGACTGAGTAGCAGTAGGTTTTGATTTTTTATCTTCTCTATATCTGTATGTCTGTATCTCCTGAGAGAAAACAGTGACTAGAATTGGAATTGACAAGTTGCTGATTGTATTGAGAAACTCTGTTTCTATATGCTGACCACCATGTCCTCTTTGTTATGAGAGTTATTTTATTTTAGATGAACATAAATTCATAATCTAACAAAGATCCTCTCTTCACCCATTATTTTGTTTTGGTCACAGGGCAGATTGTCCAGTAAGAATGTAAGTGTAATTTCTTTGTCTTTCCTTAGCTAATCTCTAGTGTTGTTTACTTAATAATCATTAGCCATTAGAAGTGTTTACTACTGACTAGTAAGTAAGCACAAACAAGCCTGCACGTACCTGCCCCTGCAGAGATTGTAAATTTCAAGAGAGGCTTTGATTTAGTAGACAGGTGATGTGGGGATGGGAAAGAGACAGATTCTTGCACCTAGAAGTAGAATATCTGATGTGATGAGAAAATGGGAAATTGTTCACTGCAGACTTGTGTTTACAAGTAAGGCCTCCTTAGCTAGTTTATTGAGTAATCTAAGGTAAGAGACATAACCTTTTCTGGTGTAACAAATTTTTTTTTTTTTTTTTTTACAGTATAAAGCCTTTTGAATGCTTGCCAATTCTTGGCCTGTTTGTGTTCATCTCCTTTCCTTTCTGTTCCTCTGTGTTCAGGCAGAGGATGATCTTTGATGACCACGTTGCCCAGGTGCCTGGCACCTAATCCTCTCTGTACAGTGAGCAGCATGGATAAGGTTTTAGAAGGCAGGAAGCAGAGAGAAGCTCCACCTCCCTCCACGCTGTGTCAAAATGAGCTGTGCTTCGGCTTCCTTCTTCCTTCTTTCCTTCTTTCCTTCTTTCCTTCCTTCCTTCCTTCCTTCCTGCCTTCCTGCCTTCCTGCCTTCCTGCTTTCCTTTCTTCCTTTCTTCTTCATTTTATCTTCATTTTTTCTATCTTCCATTTCTCTACCCACTTCCCTTCTCTCCTCTCACCTCCCTCCTTCTCTCTTTTATTCTCTGTTTCCATTCTACCATCCAGTCTTTCTGACTTCCTTCTTTCTTCCTTCCACCAAACCACCCACCACCCATCCATCTAGATATTTCTCTATAATGAACCTTTCTATGATGGACCAGTACCCAAGTGAGA